TGAAGAATATATTAATGCAACGGTGAGAAAAAATTGCCTTTTATGATATTAAAAATTGCCTTTTGATGCTTTCTCAAAAAAAAAAAAAAAAGAAAAAGAAAACAAAAACTTCTATAATGACTTTATATTTAGATGTGCCTATCTCTGCCTATCGGTCCATGTAAATGTTTACAGATTTGTTAATTAAAGAATATGTAAACTATCTACTTCTATAATGACTTTATATTTAGATGTGCCTATCTCTGCCTATCGGTCCACGTAAATGTTTACAGATTTTGTTAATTAAAGAATATGTAAACTACCTCTCAGGTTACCTTCTGAAGACAAAAATATACTTATTTTTTGTATTTAATATCGCATTGTCAGGTTTGCCATGGACCAAAAGAATTTCAAGTGCAGATATTTTTATTTATTCATTTGTGTTATTTCTTTTTGGGTTTCTATTTCTATTTTTTTCTTTTGACAAGTTTGGTCAAATTTTAAATTGGGTACCATTATGTTGCTTTAGTTATCATGTTCAGAGACCTTAAGCTTGTACGGAGTTAAAAAAAAATGAATTGTCTCATAAATGACATGAATCTTCAAATAATCTTATGACGGCTTATTTCATACGTTGGTGGCTAGCATTTGTATAAGAACTTATAATCTATCCATAATAATCAGGTGTTCACTGGTGAAAGGTAAACTTTATCTCTAGCTTGAATATTCATATTTCAGTTGTGATTCTTTCACTGGTGAAAGGTAAACTTTATCTCTAGCTTGAATATTCATAATTCAGTTGTGATTCTTTTCATTATTTGTTTAATTAGACTGCAGTACAATAATAAGTACTTTTATCCGAACACCCTCTTAGTAGTCTTCTTAAAATATAAGAGTCCTGTTATGCTGAAAAAACATCATCTGCATGTTTTTGTTTTGCTGGTTTTCAGTATCACGCATGATATCTTGTTGCTGGATAACTACAACTATCATGTTAATCTCTGTGTTTTATGTAATTCCTTATGATTTGTCATGGATTAGAACTCTACTTACTGTATTGAATGTTGGATAACGAATTTTTCTTAAATTTCTTTGGCCATCTATAAATGTTCCAATTTATTTCTTTTTTTTTGTTTCACGTCATTTTCTTTATCTTATTATGTTTTATAGGTGTTGCCCTCTTTAAAAGAGAAGCACGATGAATTTATGCTGAGGGAGCTGGTCAAAAGATGGTCAAATCATAAAGTAATGGTTAGGTGGCTGTCACGCTTCTTCCATTATCTTGACCGCTACTTCATTGCTAGAAGGTCACTTCCGGCGCTAAACGAAGTTGGGCTGACTTGCTTCCGTGACCTGGTTTGTTTTAAGTCTCCATATGCTGTTTTCTTATCTCAACTGAACCTCCAAAATTGGCACTTGTTTTAGGGTTGATTCTTATGGTGGCTAAATTTTGTTAATGTACTTGTAGCTTGTATAATGTACTTTTTAATAAGATTATGGTTTCCTCATATTTTAGGTTTATCAGGAGATACATAATGTACTTTTTAATTGATTATACTTTCCTCATATTTTAGGTTTATCAAGAGATACATTGTAAAGTCAGAGATGCTGTTATCACCCTTGTAAGTTTCTTCTATTATGGCATCTGGCTTTTGTCTTTATGTTTAAAGATATGCTAAACAATTGATTTTATCAGATTGATAAAGAACGCGAAGGGGAGCAGATAGATAGAGCATTACTGAAGAACGTTTTGGGTATATTTGTTGAGATAGGGATGGGACAAATGGATAGATATGAAGAAGATTTTGAAGGGCACATGCTTCAAGATAGTGGTGCTTACTATTCGCGGAAGGCATCAAACTGGATTCTGGAGGATTCTTGCCCCGATTATCTACTAAAAGCAAGTCTTTCTTTACATGAAGTCATTTGCATGTTGATTAGCGGACATGGTTCTAACACTGACTAATCTGATGAAATTTTAGTCTGAGGAGTGCTTGAAGAAGGAAAGGGAGAGGGTCGCACATTACCTGCACTCAAGTAGTGAACCAAAGTTAGTCGAGGTTAGTTACTCTCATATTCAAATCTTTTTCCTCTTCACGTGATTCTGGAGTTTATTGGACCTCTTCTCCGTCTGACAGGATCAAGTATTGCTTGAATTTTTGCTGGATATACTGCCTGGAATATATATATATATATATATATGTAATTTATTACGGCTATAATTTTTTCAGTAGATTATTTTCTGTTTCATGAATATGGATTTTAGGAACTTTATATATATCTATTTTTGATCTTCATGTAGAAAGTGCAACATGAATTGCTGGTGGTCTATGCAACTCAGCTACTAGAAAAGGAGCATTCTGGGTGCCGTTCATTGCTTAAAGATGACAAGGTATCTGTTATGTGTTTTTTTGTAGTAAAATTTGCTAATCTTTACTTTGCTATGAAGCATATGTCTCATTTCTAATATAATTATTTTACTTTGGTTTTTATATTGTTAGGTGGATGATCTTTCTAGGATGTACCGGCTTTACTATAAAATTATCAAAGGCTTGGAACCAGTTGCTACTATCTTCAAACAGGTGAATCGACTTTTTATGTTCAACATGCTATCAAAATGGAATATCTGTTTGATGATATTATTTTGCAGTACTGACTGTTAGGTTTTCTCATTGCAGCATATTACTGCTGAGGGTGCCGCACTTGTTCAACAAGCTGAAGATGCTGCTACTAACCAGGTTTGGTGTTTGGCTTGTGCTTTGATACAGTGTGTGCTTGAGTTGACGCCTGTCCTTTTTCTAATTATGTTTGTATGCTAAGGTTACATTTCTTTGGGAATGGCTAGTTCTTTCTTAGCATGATTTATATTATGCATTTGGGTCACATACTTGTGCCTTTATGACTTAGAGAGAGAACATCATTAGTAAGAAAGTGCTTCAATATATCCCTTATGATAAAAGCATAGGCGTTATAGAATGGGTGATAAAGTAACATGCTGGCATGTCTTTAGGTTTGCTGCTGTGGCAGATCAGCAGAATAAATTTACCAAGTGACATGTGAAATGTTGGTATAAATCAAAGGGTCTTCATTTTTTATGTGTACCTTTGATTCACTTTTCCTGTTCCCATGTACTAGTGGTCATGTTTGGTAGTTTTCTGTAAGGTTTTCATATATTTCAAGTCAACTCAAAACAAGGTCTCCTGGATCCTTCTTTGGATTCTTTTATGTTGTCTCTAGTTATTAGCCATAGAACTGAACAAACAAGCCACTTACAACAAATGGCTCGGATGAAAATTGATTCTGCTTTCTGATAGCAAACAAGAAACATTAGTATGAATTGCTTAGTTATTTTATTGTAATTCCATCTTTTTTTTAATGGAAAGAACTCTTTCTCTGTTGGTAGCAGTATAGTTCTATATTTCTGCAATGACACTGAATCTTTTCCTGCCTTTTGGCCTAATTGTGTGTCGTCCTTAGCTTTAGTGAGAAATGATTTGCCTTTATACACTTTAACCAATTGAGGAGGGAAAGTTTGAGTAGCTATTTCCCATTATTATGCACACTAGATGCAAAGCAGAATTTGGAGATAAATTCTTTCTCTTAGTTTTTTAGTACTATGTTCTGACTATTGTCCGTTTCACAGCCCACAAATGCGAGTGGTGTGCAGGAACAGGTAGATGTCTTGGCCTCTGTTTAGATGTTCTTGAGATTGATGAAATAGGCTAAAACTGACAAGAGTTTTTTGGTCTTCAGGTTCTTATCAGAAATATAATTGAGCTGCACGACAAGTATATGGCTTATGTCACTGATTGTTTCCTAAACCACACATTGTTCCATAAGGTATTATATTGACAGTACTTTGTGTCTGTTTATAAATATCTCATTTTGTTATCTGTTGCTTAACTTCTTCTTTTTGGATATCCCATAGGCCCTGAAAGAGGCTTTTGAGATATTTTGCAACAAGACTGTCGCTGGCAGTTCAAGTGCAGAGCTACTGGCAACATTCTGTGACAATATACTTAAGAAGGGTGGAAGTGAGAAATTGAGTGATGAAGCCATTGAAGAAACGCTAGAGAAGGTAGTGTAATAAAGCACTTATTTTCCAATATTGAAGTTGATTCATTATTTTTGAGATATTTTGTGATTCCCATGCTGATTGCTGCAGGTAGTTAAGTTGCTTGCATATATAAGCGACAAAGACCTTTTCGCTGAATTCTATAGGTAGACTATTTTGAAGTTATTTCTTTGTCTTTTCTGTGTATATTATTTATATAGGAATTTTTTTTCTTTCCAAAATTAATGTCCATGTTTTCTGACCGTTGGGCAGGAAAAAGCTTGCTCGACGGCTATTATTTGATCGGAGCGCTAATGATGATCATGAAAGGAGTATTCTTACTAAGTTGAAACAGCAATGTGGAGCACAGTTCACATCAAAGATGGAAGGGATGGTGAGTCGGGATTTTTATTTGATACACACTTGTAAAAGGTGTTACTGATTGTTGTTTCACTCTGAATCTTTCTTCTTTTACTATGCACTATTCTAATATATTTAATTAATATTTTATAAAATTAATAAAAAAATGATAAAATGTTAAAAATAAATAAATAATAACAAAATTTTAATTATTATAATTATTTAAATCTAAATAAATATTGTTTTAACAATTTATCATAAATATAAAAGTATAAAAAATAAGTTAATATTTTATTTTATTTTAAAATTTTACTTATTAATTTATTAATATAAAATTAGTAGTATTCTCATTAAAACTACTATTTCTCTCCTGCATCTCATTTAAAAAAAATTTCATAAAAAGAAATATTTTTAGCTACTCATTTCACATTTATGGAAAACTAAAGCTGCTTTTCACTGCAAAATAAAATGAATCACTTATTGCCGGTTTCGGAATCTTTCTTCTTACAGGTAACAGATTTGACACTGGCAAGGGAGAACCAGAATAACTTTGAAGATTACCTTAGCAATAATCCAGCTGCACATCCTGGAATTGATCTGACAGTCACTGTTCTTACTACTGGGTTCTGGCCGAGTTACAAGTCCTTTGATATAAACCTTCCAACTGAAATGGTAATAACTTATATTTTCTAATGGTGAAAATATTAGACTCTTGTATAATCTTGAAGTTACTGTTAAGTGTTATCTAATGTTTAAATATTATGGAATTGAATTTTGTCAGGTTAAGTGTGTTGAAGTGTTCAAAGGATTTTATGAAACAAAAACAAAACACAGGAAGCTTTCATGGATATATTCCTTGGGCACTTGTCATATCAATGGCAAGTTTGAGCAGAAAACTATTGAGTTAATTGTGTCTACATACCAGGTAATGAATTTAACTCTTTTTATTACAACAAAAAAGGGGTCAGGGACTCTGCTGTATAGATGACATATTATGCCTGAAAATGCTCTTTTCATAAACACCTAATTTCTTCCTTTGTTGCATTGTAGGCTGCTGTTTTGCTGCTTTTTAATTCTGCAGATAGATTAAGTTATTCCGAGATCATGGCTCAATTGAACTTGTGCCATGATGACTTGGTTAGATTGCTCCACTCTCTGTCCTGCGCCAAGTATAAAATCCTTATTAAGGAGCCTAGCTCGAAAACTGTTTCTCAATCTGATTACTTTGAGTTCAATTCGAAGTTCACAGACCGAATGAGGAGGATTAAGGTTAACTGTTGTGTTTACATTGTTGACCATTTCTTTTATCTCTTTTCCTTTTTATTGTCATATAATGACAATAATATACTGAAGTTTGTTTGGGCTAATACCAATAGACTCAAATGATGAATTCATAAAATTCTTGTATTGTAGATCCCTCTTCCCCCCGTGGATGAACGGAGGAAGGTTGTTGAAGATGTTGACAAGGACCGGCGCTATGCAATTGATGCTGCAATTGTGCGTATAATGAAGAGCCGGAAAGTCCTTGGCCATCAACAACTGGTGTCAGAGTGTGTGGAGCAGTTAAGCCGAATGTTTAAGGTAGTAAGACATGCAGTTTATTATATAAAATGCAACAGAAGGGTAAATTATGCAAAGATTTTTGTCTCTTTTGGATGAGAGTTTGCATTTGGTTGGATGATTTTATACAAGTTTAGTTGATGAGCTTGGATGTGTTGGTTTGCAGCCGGATATTAAGGCGATCAAGAAGAGGATGGAGGACTTGATCACCCGCGACTATCTGGAAAGAGACAAGGATAACGCCAACTTGTTTAGGTATTTAGCTTAAATTCGAGCAGGTGGTGTTGAGCCCACTGCAATACCATTATTGGCCCCCAAATGTGAATTTGTTTTTCGAACTGCTGTAAATGCCTATGTAATTGAGCTGCCTACTGAAAGGCTTAAAAGAGAATTTTTTTTTTTGGTGCAATTTGCCTATGAAGCCAGTTTTGTATTCTGCCAATCATTGTCGAAGAAAGGTTGATAGGAATATTGATGTTCAATCCGTTTGGTATAATCCAGAGTGCTTCTCTATGTCGACTTCTCTCATTTTCATTTTATGGTGTACGTATGTACGTACACATATTTTTCAGGTGCTTCTCCTTTAGATTCAGTTACATCCGTAATTGATGTGTCATTCAATTTATGGTTTATATTTGCGTGATGAATGACATCGATTATCGAGAGTTTTACCGTGGAATTGGAACCATGCGACATTAAAACAAATTAAAAAAAAAAAATTTATGAAAAAAACAATTAATAATTTTATATTCGAGTGATTATTTTGGGTAATTTTTCTTTTAAATTTACTCTATATTTTATGATGAAATTGAAATATACATAATTTTTAGTGTTAATCTTTTCTTCCCTTCAAATCGCTCACAGATTTACAATATCATTTGAATATTTATTTGAATTAAACTTTGCTTTAAATCTGTATAATTTTTCAACGTTTATTCAGAAAAAGTATATCTCATTTAACTTTTGAGGACCTCTGAACAATACTTTTGTGTTAAGATTTAATTTTTAACAAATAGTATGATATCTACGATTTATGACTGCCGGTATATAAAGTAGTTTAAATATTGTTCTTTCTAATTGTATTGTTGAAATAAAGTGAGTCCGTTTTAACTGTACAGGTAGTGAACGGAGCAAGCAGCTGCCAAACGAGTTGTCAAAAATTTTCATTCAGTAACATGGTAAGAATTGTTATCTTTATATTTATAAACCTTAAAAGAAAAATTGGGTGGGGGGGGGGGGAGTAAATTCTTCATCAATCTCAATCTCAATCTCAAATTAAATTCTTGCCCACGTCAATGCAACTGCGCCAAATGTTACGACCTGAAGCCAACACACAATCCTCTTTGGTTAGCTTATAAAACTCCCAACAAAAATCCAAATTACTTCTTTTAACATTGATTTGACGATCTTCATCGACATCATTCTCGCAATATATTAGTCCATCAGAATTCATACACAGTGAGAAAGATCACGTGGGGGAAAAATGAAGGGAAGTGAGGAAGGAATATGAAAGAATTTGGTACTCAGTGATAAATTATTAATGCAAATCCTTATTCTCCCACCTTCATTCCTCGGTCCCAGAAACAAACTAATTCCGTTGAATTATAGCTTCGATCAATTTGTACAGTAGTTTTCTATAAAATTGCTCGAAGTTACTTGATTATCTGTTCTTCGTAACTATGCCTTCTACAAATAGATAAAAACTTATAGAAACTCATAATCTTCTAGTGTTTGAACAAAGAAGAAAAGAGAAGTTTACCTACTTATTAGCTCAGGCAAGCAAGCCAAGGTTTATGTGAGACCTTCCTCTCCGATTAAAAGAGAGGGCTTCTTCTGCTCGTGGAGTTGAGAATTGAATGATCTGTTTATGTACATGAATTTGAACTGCAGAAAAGGAAAACAAAATAAAAAAAGAAAAGTCAAGAAATTGTTAGATGCACATGTGCCAAACTAATCCAGTCCCACAAAGTTTACATCAGAAGAGGTGACAGCCAATACCTTGAGGAGGGAAATTCAGGCGATCTCATTAAGGGAGCTACATGCCTTTTTTTTTTTCTTCACTGTTTTCCATTTTTCCACCTTGCTAACTTCTACCTACTTGTTACTATTGACATCCAAGTGAAACTGCAACAGAAGCTGAGGAAGAAAGTTTCAATATATCCATGTAAATGAATCAAAATAGTATAGCAGACAAGAGAAGGGAGGAAAAGAGGATGTTAGCAAGAGCAGAAACAGAAAGAGTAACAAAGGAATTACCAACCTGGGGCCATCAACTCTATAATCCCAGTTCTATTGGTGCTTCAACCAATTAAGTGCAGGATCTGCCGGAAAATTTTAGATGATGATGAAGCTCATGGACATGCTTGCGCTCCCCCATCCATAAGATGATTTGGAATAAATAGTAAATGAACAAATGAACAGGACAAGAAAAACTGGAACTCCCCCCAGAAACAAAGAACTCTAGAAAGACGGCAAGCTTTGATATTACAAGTTCCTAAAAGCCCACCACCATCAATCTATCAATAGGGTCCTATATCTACATATATGATATATATTTCCTTCAACCAGAATCCTCCTCAAGGGTAAATTGGCCTATTGTACAAACTCAGCATCATTGGTGTAGAATCTTTATAAACCATACATCCTCACTGGCCGTACTGATTTGAAAAGACGCTTAATTTCTGTCCAAAAGCAGTGAGCCCAAGAAAAGAGGCTAAAAATGGAACTCTTCTCGAATTGCACATATGTACATAGAATACAAAGTTGGAGATCAGCTGATAACCATTTCTGAACAGGAGCGTGAATGGGTGCAGCAGCAAAGATACCTGCCAGCCTCTCTTTCCACCGCAAAGGCTAGACACTGAAAGGTGGGGCATGGAAGCAAAACTTCTTTCCATGGTTGATATCATCTCCACACTTCAACTCCCTTATCGGCTAATGGCCTCCATTGCAAGACGTACAAGACGTAATAATCCCTCTACATCTTGGAAGTTAAAATCAAGAGCCTTTTTGATGGATGATATTCCTTCCCTCTGCTGGGCCTCTTCCATGCTTCCATTAGCAGCTGCAAAAGCCATCTGACATTTCCTTGTGGCTTCCATTGCAAAATTTACATCTTGTGTCTGTAAAAATAGAAATGTTTCAAGAGTCTAACGTTAACAATAAATCCATAAGAGACAAAGTTCTTAACCATAAAAATATGGTTCTGTTGTTTCAAAGCATAAATGCAGTGTAAAGTGAAGTATACCAACATTGGCAAGCTATTGCAACCTCAATTTGATCCTAGTATCACCTATCAAACTATCTGCGCATAGTTAGATCATATGTGATGACAGACGTTTCGTGCTCATAACATGAATTGCAAACAAGAATAATGCACTAACATTTTGAGAGAAAAAAAAAAATCATTGAAAAGCCACCAAACTAGTTTCTCGCAATTACAAAAAATTCATGAAGACTTGTGTGCCCAAAAGATCTACAATGTCATCCCGTCTCATTGAGTTGACTGTGAGCAGATATTTAAAATCCTTAACCAGTGATCTCCAATTGCAGAAAATATGAGGATGAATTTTAAAA